CGCCCCCCGCTTGGTTCGGCCCCCGCCTCCACTCCGGCTAGGCAGCCAGAGCGTCGGGTTCCCAGTCCCCTCGGTCACTCCAGGGTCCTCTGCAGGCCCCGCCCCGGCGCTCACCCAGCAGCGGCCCGCCTCCTCCTCCTCCTTGTGGCGGCACTGTCTCCCCCTGGTGGCCATACAGACAGTGACACCACCAGCCGCTCAAAAGCTCCGCCTCAAGCAGCGCGCTGGGGCCAGACGCGGGTTCTGCAAAGGAAAAACAGAGAGCTGGCGCTGCGGCCGAGTAGGTCCTCACCCCTACAGGTCCCACTCAGAGCCGGGTCCCTGCTCACCCCCGCGGCCCCAGCGAGCCAGGCGGCAGCGGCTTCCAGGCAAGAAGTAGTGTTCCAGGTAGGGTAGGCACACTGGCCGAAGAGCCGCGCTCAGGTTCACGGGCACGCGCAGCTGCAGCAGCGCCAGGTCCGACGCGTCGTCCCACGAGGCGTTCTCGTGCGGCACCAGGCGTGCCACCCGCTCCGCGCGCGGGCGCGAGGGCAGCAACACGCGCCAGGCGTTGAGGTCACGAGGTGGGCCATCAGAGCTGATCCGGCTGCGGGATGGGGAGGCTGGGGGCGTGGGCCAGATCCCTAATGTCCACAGCTCCAGGCTAGATCCCTGGAGCTGCGTCCCCGGCTGGGTCTCTATCCCCATCCCATACTGCGCCCCTAGATCCCTGCCTCTTGGATGGAATTTATACTACTACCCTTATTCGCCCTGCCAGGGTAGGGCTCCTCTTTTCGTGTTGAATCCCACGGCTCTCCATGTGACCTCACACTGTAGACTGAGGTGCCCTCCCCACCCCCCTCCCACCCCAACCCTGAGCAGGGAAAGGGCTGGGACCAGGTAGATGGTGTCTTGGGCCGATGTGGGAGCGGCAAGAATCTGCCCGAGACGTGGGTTCTCACTCACTCCAGAAAGCAACTGGCAGGTGCCAAGACCCAGCTTTCAGACACCAGCGCCCCATGGCAAGGTTTGGATCCTGGTACCATCACCTGGGCCTCCCAGGGCCAGGCCCCTGGCCTCGGGGCCTTCCCACACTCTGAAGGATGAGAGGCCTGGGTCAGGAGGCCTCCTGCCTCCCCATCCCCCACACTCCCCGCCCCCTACCACCTCCAGCAGCCTCCACCCATCTTCAATCTCCCATAGCCAGCTCACATTTAGTCTTGTCCCTTCACCTGGCAGGGCGACAGTGCAGTTCTCCTCCATGGGCTCCCTGGGGCCTGACTGGAGCTCCAGCGGCTGGGTGGGAAAGACAGGCCCAGGCACGGAACCCATCACCTGTGTGCGTATCCATGCCTCATGCGGAGCCACAGCCGTGAAGACTCCAGGCCGGTTTCTCCGTCCACAGCCGAAACCAAAGCTGGTGATTCCCGCCTGAAACCAGCGGCCCCCTTCCTCACAGACCAGGGGCCCTCCAGAGTCACCCTAATGAGAGATGACTGTGTCAGGGGATGGGCCCAGGGACCCGCCAACCTATACTGGCGTCCTTGCAAAGGTCCTGCACCTTTTTGCCCAGTGTGCAACCAGCCGCCTTCTCCTTAAAGTTTTCTCGACTGTGTCTTGTGCTCTGTTATTCCCTACAACTCTAAATTGAAGAAAAAGCCTTGCAAAGCAGAACGGATGCCAGGAACACCAAGCTAACATATTAAAGGCCAGATGAGAGAATCCCGAGGTCTCATTCAGAGCCAAAGGGTCTCCATCCAATAAATGGTTCAAAGAAATCCTGTTTTTTTTTTCATAATTATTTTTAAGTCAGATGAATTATTAACAAAATAACTCACAGATGCTCTGACATTTGGGATCAGAGGCTGTTAGAAATAGACAAGCTAGAGGGGCCAGCAGATGGCATGGTGGTTAAGGTGCTGGACACCCCCACATAGCAAACCATGGTTTGAGTCCCAGACCTGGTGGCTTTCTTTCTTTCTCTCTCTCTGGTTAAATTAAAATGAATGAATGAATAAATAAAATTAATTCTTTTTTTTTAAAGAATTATTTTATTTAACTTTATTGATTTATTTTAATTTAGCCAGAGAGGGACAGAATGAGAGAGAGAAAGTGGGAAAGCAAGCCGCCAGGTCCAGGACTTGAACCGTGTCAGTCATGTGGGAATCCAGTACCCTCCACCGCCCAGCCAA